CATTGTCGTTAGTTATTTGATTTTTTATTGTGATGCTTGTATATTATTTATTATAGGTTGAAGGGCAAACTGACGAAGTAATTTTTGACCATCTGCATGCAACTGCTTTCCAGTACACTCCTTTGGGCAGAACCATTCTTGGACCTGCTCAAAATATCAAGACGATCACCAAATATAATCTTCAAAAGTATATATCGACACACTACACTGCACCTAGAATGGTAGGTGATATTTATATTGATTGTTGAGTCTACTGGGTTGGTTGGTTGGTTGCATGCTGGCTTCACCGTCATTTTATCATCAATTATTTTACTCTATTGACTTACTTATTGAAGTCTTAAGCATTGGTCTTCTATTTTAGGTAATTGCTGCTTCTGGAGCTGTGAAGCATGAGGACATTGTTGAGCAAGTAAAGAAATTGTTTACCAAGTTGTCAACAGATCCAACTATAGCGTCTGAATTAGTTGCTAAAGAACCAGCAATTTTTACAGGTTCCGAGGTGTGCTTATATCATATAAATATTTCACAATTTGTTTAATTTGAACGTTCTCTTCCATCTTGTATTTCTACAAAATTTATTAATTGGCATTTTTTATGTGAAAATCAGGTTAGGATGATGATGATATACCTTTGGCAAAATTTGCGGTTGCTTTCAATGGGGCTTCTTGGACGGATCCAGATTCCATTGCTTTGGTGGTCATGCAGTCTGTGTTGGGATCTTGGAATAAGAATGCAGGTGGTGGGAAGCACATGGGGTGAGCTGTTTGAACATCATTTGTGGGGTTTTAATAACTAAGTTGAATATTTTCCTGTGATATAACCAGTGAGGGCATGCATTAATTAGTTTTTGACAATTTGTAAGCAGTTCTGAGCTTGCGCAGAGGGTTGGCATTAATGAGATTGCTGAAAACATGATGGCTTTTAACACCAACTATAAGGACACTGGTCTATTTGGTGTTTATGCCATTGCCAAGGTGAGATTATGCCCTATAATTATGATTTTTTTAGTTTCAGGGCCTTCTTTCCCTCTTCATATTAGGTTCTTTCAAATTTTTGATATCTTTTTGCCATGACTCTATATTTTGTTAGCAAATTGAGAACATCTATAAATCACTCCCTGAAATGATTGGGTTGTATCTCTTGTTCCCTCTTGTTCCATTTCTTTCCTCAATCACTTTTCTGATGGACTAGGTCCCCATTTGGCACTACTGTGTGTTTAGCTTGGAATTACTTTTCTTTCCCTTGAAATAATGCTTTAGGTTGTGTTTGGCTGCATCTTTAATGTACTTTGATGTGTAGAGGCTCCCCTAAAGGCACTTTTTTAGTGAAATAAAGCGTACAAGAGGATATGCAAGTGCTTTTGAAGTGCAGCAAATAAACACTCTAAGCCTTTTTACAACATCTTCTATAGAGCTCTTAACTTATTGGAGGCCTATACACCACAAAACAGGCCTAATAAGTGAAACATATTATTGGGTGTTGAGGTGGACACTGGTTGCTTGCATTCTGGGTGAGTTCAAAACTGAAATATAGTCAAAAGTAAAACAAAATAGCCCAGCTGGTTCTCTTGTGGGTGATTTAGGTATGCCAGAAAGGGAAAAAGGGAGTACTGTGCCAAGGGATGAGGTTCACCCCTTCCAGTACCCTTTATTGGCAGGGATTAACACTAGGATAGTGGTTATGGCCTCTAAAGGCTTCTCAAAATCAAGAGGGGGGACACCAGGAGAGCAGGGAAAACTGCAGTAAGTCAAGCGAGAAGAATAAAAGAGTGACAAGTGCAAAAAGTTACAGTGGAAATTTTGAAAAATTGCAATTCTTTCTCTCCATAAATTAATATGATACCAAGTTAACTTTTAGAATGATTTCCTTTCCACTAATGTCTTGGGATCAAACTGTTATGGCTTAATAGCCAATATCTTAGAACTCTTGATCATGGTAATCTGTAGCAAAAAAATTGAGTATCAGGATTTTGCTCAGACTGAGATGCCCATTAATCATAATTTTATAGCATCACAAACATGATAAAACAGCTATCTGTGTTGCCCATCAGTTTCCACATCTGTCATGAGGAGCTTTAGTTTGATTGATTTTAATTCACAATTGATGTTGTATGTTATGCCTCAATAATTCTAGTTATTCATTTTCATTTTAACATTTTGTTTTTAGCCGGATTGCTTGGATGATCTGGCTTATGCAATTATGTATGAGATGAGCAAGTTATGTTATCGAGTTTCTGAAGCTGATGTTACTCGTGCTTGTAACCAGGTAGTTACCAGTTCTTGTACTGAACCTTGATATTATCTGCTTGCTTGTCCTCAGGTTTTAAGTGCTTTTAGTAAAACTATATTGCATATATATATATATATATATATTGTTTTGTAATTCAAAAACAATACGACATATATGGCTACCACCCTAATTTGTGGATCAATATGCCTTCCATATATGCTCAGGTCTTAAGTCTTTATTTCTTTATAGTTGAGTTCTGGAGATAATGAAAGCCATAAGTTATGGATTGAACTTTCAATATACTTCTATTAATGACTAAGAAGTATTTATAAAGTTGGGGATGTTTAAAACTGTTTTTGGTCCACCAAGCAAATAACCCTTTGCCAAGCATCCCATATTTTGCCTGTAGTTCTAACTTATCTTAGATGAGTATTTGTTGTGCCAAAGTGAGTCAGAGCTACATCATTTGTTGAATAAAATGTGTTATCCACATTTTTATTACACATTAAAACTAAAATATGGACAAAGGAGGTGTGGTAGATTAACTTGTATCCATGCAACATGCTTAGTTTTATGAAAGGGAAATCGATTTTAGCTTGGCCACTTATTTTTTATCTTGTGGTGTTCAGTATATTGGCATTCACTTACAGTTCTATTGCACTGCAGTTGAAATCTTCTTTGCTGCTTCACATAGATGGAACTAGTCCTGTTGCTGAAGATATTGGGTGCCAGGTAAAGTACTTGATGCATTTTCATTTGCGTATGGTAAAAGAAGGGTGGATAAAATAAAATGAAAGAATGCCTCATATATTACTTGCAGAAAATGAAAGGATTCCCTTGTATTACTTTTGAATCTCTTGGATTGTCTACTTAAGAGCCTACTAAGTGAGTAGTGTTGGATAAAGACGATTTAGTTTAGTTTCTAAAACATGGACTCTTTTTATCAAATGATAATCACTCTCATGAAATGTGGTCAGAAGACACAAGCTTTTGTTTTTAAAAATTTTCCTTCCCTGTAAAGACCCAGATTGTTTGGCGTTATCCATTCTGTTCTTGCAGCTACTTACGTACAGGAGAAGAATCCCATTCGTTGAATTGTTTGCCAGAATTGATGCTGTAGATTCTAGCACTGTCAAATGTGTGGCAAACCGTTTTATATTTGATCAGGTAAGGATTAATGCATCCCCATTGCTAATTGCAAATTTACCTGCTATGAGGGAAGAATGTTAAAAAATTATTGTTTTCCTCCGTACATTCAATATTTGTTCTAAGTCATGTTTGGCCTTTTTGCAGGATGTTGCCATGGGACCCATCCAAGGTTTACCCAATTACAACTGGTTCAGGCGTAGGACCTACTGGCTCCGTCACTAGGTTCTTTCACATTTAGTTTTCTTCATTATTACTCCTCACCTTATTACCTTTTTCATGTGGTCTCCAAAACATTTTGCTGTTTCATAATGCAAACCAAATTCCTCGGTGAGTCCCTTGGAGGGTGGCCCCTTTATTTAATTTTTGTTCCCAGATTTTTTCTCTGTAACATTGCTCTATTAGTAAAAAATAATTAAGCTGTTTTCAGTGATGTATGAGACAAAGATCAATGTAGCCAGTCAGACTTTTAAATGTTCAATTTTTTTCATGGCATTAAAGCCTTGATTGTATTATTACTTACAATTGTCATATGGGTGATTGATATGTGATGATACAAGCCCATTCAACTTTTTGTGTGCTCACGTCCCTATTAATAACTCTGGGTGCCATGAAATTGAGTTTTGAGTTTTGTGTTGTAAATTGATATACTTGTGTAGTTTTTGAGCCAGAATGAATCATAGGCACGAGTTCATGACTCTGAAGCTTTTCATCTCACCACCACTCTTAATCTCTACACCGCCAATGGGCTTCTAGCCAGTGGCGGGCCTCGCATATGAGAGGTTGGGGGTATAACTCTCTCCGGCACCGCTTCTATAGCTTATCTGTACAACTTGTCACTCATTGCAATTGTAGTTCAGCAGTTCTCCTTCGCCACACCCTTAATAGTAGGCTAGATATATAAATTCTATTGGAAATTCTATATAAAAAAATAATTATTATATCTGCACCAATGTTGCTCTATAGCCTTCTAAATTGTATCTACTCTCCTTTTATACAAGTTGATTTGAGAGAAAATGCAGTTACAGTCATAATGGTTGTGGATTACATATAGCAATTTCTATTAAATTTGCCAGAGAGCGTTGAGTGATGGTAAAATCCCTCACTCTCTATACTCACCAGGGTCATTATAAAAAGATACACAAGTCTCCTAATCATATGACGAGAATTTCAAAGTCTACCATATGAACCATATTAGAACGAACCATATTAGAACTCACCAAAGAATTATCATTGCATGAAAGTAAGTAATGTCACATTTGCAAAGAACGTTAGGAAGCCCACATTTTGGCTCCATCCATATCTGCACATCTTACCTGTATAACATGCTGGTCTATCAAATTATATGCATATTCTCATATGCTAATCACATTTAAGATGTCTAACCACACAAAGAGTTGCAACAATAATGACGAACCAATGAGTTCTGTCTCAACATGGCACATACACATTAAACAATGGACAAATAAATGGGATAATCAATACCATTGACCCAACCAACTTACATGATTTCCAAAAAAAAAAAAAAAAAAAATTTACATGAGGGAATCAATTACAAAAATCGCTTCTCTGCCACAACCTTGTGAAATATATGGCAGTACTGGTTTTGCATCAATATTCTATTATTTTTTCTGTTCTCAATTCTAACCTCCTTTTTTTTTATTTTCTTCCCCCCCTTCCTAGATAATATACATGATGTTAGATTTACCTGTAAATGTATTTACAAACTACTACCACTGCCTACCTCTACTACTGTTGCTTTTCCTCCCACAGTTATTTAGCCTCCGGCCCCCACTTCCACTTCCTCCCCAATCTTCATCGTCATCATAATCTTCATCATCCCTCTTCTCGAAGGAGGCCGTCTCCTCTTGATGTTCGCTGTGTATGTTGAATAGTCAACAGTGTCTTCCTTCAAAGCAGTCTTGAATTCCTGCACAGTAAAAAAAAATTTGTAAAGACAGAACAAGAGTTCCACCTCATAACAGGCCAATCGATTCTTACACAATGCCTTTTTTTTTTAAATATTATGATTTTGGGTTTTTTATCGAGGCGTATCTATCAAAATTCTGAGTCATTAGAAGGAATCCTAGCAATTTCTAATAGGGTCACTGCTAGCTTCAAACCAAGTATGTCAAATGTCAATCAAGTGAAGTACAATGATGCTTGTCGCTGTATACTATTCAACCACTTGAGCAACAGACAAGGTAGAAAATCTATAAATGCAATAAAGCTACAATGCATGTTCATAACAGTTTATATCTATGCTATTAAGAGAAGGAAAAAAAAGAAAAAGGATTTGTAACCAAGCACATGGAAAGACACTGATCATACTTTCTAACAAAGACGCACAAAGAGAACTAGATAAGTAAAAAGGTAGATGTTCTTCATTATGCATGAAAACTTTGCAGTGACTCAAAATGTCGGTGCTCACACACTATCTGATATCTTTGCAACACTTCTTGATGATTGATAGCCAGATCAATGCGTGTTTCATTGGTGTTGAAGGGAATGTTCTGCTTTGAGAGAGCCTCCCCCAGTTTTAGGGGTTCATTTGGAGAGAGTTCCTGGTTAAAGACAGTAAGATATTGCACAAAAATTAGGATCATATATGCCACTGTAAAGCAACAAATCTAAGATACAAGACAACAGAAACCACTCCAAAGAAGATTTACCTGACTTCGTGTATCATTTAGACCATACACAATTTTTAGATGCCTCTTTAGTTTCAGAAGTAGCTGTAGCGCAATAGCCGAGAGACAGTCAGCCTGTATAAACACCACAAATTTGAATGCCAAGTGAATTGCATTAAGTCCGAGAATGCAAATTTGAATCCATAGAAGACATAAAAGGCAGGACCTTTAAGATTACCTGTATTTTCTGCAAATCATCTTCAGATATGCCACATAAATTGCATGGACTCCTAGAATGCAAATTTGAATCCACAGACACTGAATGATTAGAAACAGGCTCATCAGCTGGCTCTTCCTTAAATGTCCCATTAGGATCCGCTGATATAGTATGACTGGAAACAGGTTGAGAAGATGGCCATTGCGGAGTTATCCCATTACCATGCACTATCTTTGCATCTTCTTGTAACGAATGCAGAAAGGCTTTCATATTTGCTTCACATGTACCGGCTCTAACCTGTATAACTCGATTTATGGCATAAATCAAGTAAAGCAGCTCATCAGGCAATGTGAAAGGGAGTAAAGCAAGCATTTCAGTACAGTACCTGGGAAAAGCAAATTGAAGTCAATATATGTAGTAGAACCACACAACTCTAGGATGGGCACTAAAGAAATAACTCACATCAGAAAAGGGATGACTGAAGGATTCCAGCTAGGAGTATCGAATTTGCACACTACCGACACATAAATTTGTTCCTTGAAACACGATTCCCACAGATCAGCTTGTAGATTCGAGAAACACCAAGCCTTGAGTTGGACTTTTGGGTTTGAATTTTCAGAACTTCCACCCACGGACCTAATGAAAATAAAGGGCATTTGAAGGCCATCTCCCAAACGGCTTTCAAAAAATGCTGGATATCTGGAAGGATGCTTTCAATAGTTAGAATAATCAGATTAACAAGGTACCCAAAATTTGGAAGCATATAGAGGGAAATACTTTTCATTCATATTCATCAGAAGATGATGAGCCAGCATTGAGTTTGCCTCCTCAGGACCTGTTTCAAGGGCAATAAGGTATGGGACACAAGTAATAGGATAAACTAGGCCTTGACGTAGCACAATGTAAAGGTTACAGTAGATACTGATAACAGTAAGATCATGAATTTCACATGAGAAACTCCATTTATGAATTCCAGGCCAGAATGACCAAATGACCAGTAAATCCACAATAAAAAATAAATAAATATTAGTCTGAGACTTCGTTCTCATGTTTCAGTAAATAATTAATATTTCTGTATACTGATTGGCTTGTTTGGGCAGACCAGTTCACTCATTTGAATCCAAAAAATTTAGACAAACAACAAAGGATAAGAACACGGACAAGATTTTACCATCACAGCAGATTGGCGAACTTGTTCATTCACATCTAAAAATCTTCCTAAGATGTTATCCCAATACAATTGAACTATTCCCCGACAGATATTAGTATCACCGGCACCTGCAGCAACAGGAACACTATGGCCAACATCTACGGAATAATTAACCGTATTATTACTGGTATTATCAGTTGCCATTTGACTTTCTGCATCAAGAAGATACTCGTAGATTTTTTGCAACGCTTGCATCTGTACAACAAATCAATTTAGTATATGGACAGGAAGGCAAGAAAGAAAACAGAAAGAGAAATTATTACCTTAAGTCGCACGTCAGTACTAGAAGAGAGTGTTGCCTCCAAAATTTTCCCAACATCCTTTTCCAACACATATTCAGGCCTAGCAATCAAAACATAACCTAATGCCTACAGAAATTCAAAACTTACAAGTTAAATAAGACGAGCTAAAATCTCTCCCTCCCTCTTCCGTGGTGGGGGTGTACACGCACATTTATGGGCAAATGCTGAAGGGGCATACCTGCAACGATCTGACCTTTAGAACAAAATCCTCCGCATGAAGATACTTTTTAAACAAGTTGAGGCTGTTCTTGACATCTATATTTTTGTTACTGGAGCAGGATGTACTCAGCAAAGAGTTTCCATAACGAATAAGCAACCCAAGGCAGAAAAGAGATCGCCCAACTAACTGGAATTTACAGAAATTCAACAATTTCTAAGTTTGTCAAGTAAATAAATAATTTCTCAGATAATCATCACAAAAAAAAAAAAAAAAAAAAAAAAAAAAAAACCCAAAGGTATGATTTTAAACTGCATACGCAATTTTCTCTGCATAGGAAATGGTATATCAAAGGGGTAGTCCAAAGCAGACCATCAGCCATGATGCAGAATGATTCTGAAAAATAAAGCTATAAAAAGCTATGGTCCATTTTCCAATAAATTATATAATAATCCAATTGTCTAGCAAGTATGTCCAACTCAATTGTGAATGTCAACAAAACAGAGAAGGGTGGTCCAATGGGTTACGAGATCCTTCTCATATGAGAATAATTGACAAGTTAAAGTTTTCAATAGTTACAACAGTATCTTAAATTGGAAACAGATGGCTTTCCAAAGCGAAAAAACTAGGATAACAAGCATAGGTACTATAAGGGGAAAATATAGAAGATAAGGTCAACCAAAACTAATAATGTTCAACTACCTCTATGATCTACAACCTATTGAGTGACAAGGTCAGACCCCATCACGAGTATACACATTTCAAAGAGATCTCTTAGGGGAGGGTGGGAGCAATTGTCCCTAGAAGATTCAGTGCTTGGGAGCATGAAGCAAACATTGTGATATATATAGAACAATTCTAACAAAAAAAGCATGTAAATTCAAAACAATGCAGAAAATCAAAGTTTTTAAAGGCGAATGTGTAATGTAAGACATTTTACCCCTCATGAGGAAAGGTGTAAGCCTTAAGGTGTTGAGGCATAAGCATTTCAAATTTCAAAATTTTATATTTAGTAAATAATTTAAATATTTTAAAACAATAAATAAATATATCAAAATTAAATATAAAGGTGTAAATACTTTTCTTCCGAAGGAAGCTTTGTGTTATTGAAAGTGAAATTAGTATTTTTAGCTTTAGTGATTGAGTTTCTAATTGAGCATCAACTTTGTGTTTTTTTCTTGATTAGTCATTTACTTAATTTTTCCTATAGAATATAGTTGCAAAATGAGTTTTTTATTTTTATTTTTTACGTTTAAATCATCTACTAGACTAAGTTTAACAAGAGCTTAAGCTAAACTTTTCATATGCGTACTCCTCACATGCTTATCCATAAAAGGCGTACAAGACGCACCTAAGGCACATGTCTCAAGACTCTGTGCGCAAGCCTTTGGGGAGTAAAGCCTAAAAATCAAAGTCTTGAGGCGTTTTGCCTTAGCCTCAGTAAAGTCTTTTAAAACTTTGTAGAAAACATAATTTTCAACTTTTGTAAGAAAACAAGTGTTAAAAAGATCTCTTCCCTCAAAAAGCTGTGTGGGTGTGAGTGTGTGTTGCAGTGATTTTTCAACAAATATTTTTGTGTTCTAAAGAGGAAATTGTTTTAGTTGTTAAACCCTTCTGAACCCTTCATCATTCTTTGTGAAGAGAGAATCGTCGATGATTCCAACCACTCAATGGTTTCATGGATGGCATATATCCTTCTTCCTTTTTGGGGAAAAGGAAAACCACAGGAGGGCAAATGGATTTTTTGCTGGGAAAAAAAAAATACAAAAGATGTAGTTATTTCAAAATATCCAACAACCTGCTTGTTATCAAATACTAAGGCATCCAAAGGCTTGAAAAACACCTGAACAAGATACTCAACTACAGTTGAACCTTTCCCTGCCACTTTACTTACAGAGCACAGGCACCTGAACAGAGAAGAGAATCAACTGGTAAATATAATAAAGTGTAAAACATTAATTTTATGGAGCACACGTTTAAAATTATGCATCAATTCATTAAACCTGACTCAACTAAGAAAACATTATCTCAGTTTGAGATGTTACTATTCTTTCCCACCATTCCACTATCTCTATGGCCATACCCAACATTATTAGCTACGAGATAAAGATGACCTAAAATGGCAGGGAAAAGATGCACTTATTTGGATCCTAACTCCATATATGGCTTATAAACCCATCATCATTACCTTGTTTATTAGGATCCTCTCAGAAAAATGATCTTTACCAAACCAAACCTTGCATCCCAATCAATTGGAGTTTTGCTGTATGAATCCTTTTTTGTCATTCTACTATATCAATGGCTATATACCCAGCTATTTTCTTATTACAACATCCCATGCCAATTTAAGTCTAAGATTCAAGGGTCACTTCTAGCCAGTGTAATTGTGATATCCCTGTTCCGTAATATGCTAATTGGTCCTTAACATGAATGTGATTATGTGTTTAGTATGATTCTGTGTGCCAATTATGTGAATATATGTGGTTTTAAATTTCTATCTGTTCACCGTAGGAATATCTGTTTGAAGCGTCTTCTCTGAAAATTAAATAGAAGGCCTTATTGGCCACAGAACCTGAAATTGATTACGCCATTGTGATTGGCATAATTTTTAGAGGCTACGGTAAAATTGAATTGGAAGTTGATTCGGATCAGATTAAATTGACTTAATTAATCAATTAAGTGCTCAATTAGCTAATATTAAATTAAGGTGCTTGAGTGGGGTTATCTAAGAGACCATTATATGCTCAATTCCCTTTTTTATTTCATCTTTGGCTGAAATCAACTCCCTAGAGAGAGAGAGTGTCACAACCCGAACCCGTCCCTCTGGGTTAAGGCCATAACCAGCCAATAATCACGAGATTACCTACGGCTTCAAACCAAATAAGACAAAACTCATCAGAGTAAGAGGGGCCAAACGGAAGCAATTTTAAAACTTTGTCCATAGAGCCGTGCTTATATGCACATCATAACATTCCAGACATACATATGTTAATAACTCACAACAGAAAGTATAGTAACATAAGTACTGTACAGACAGGATCATTCAAATCTAAGTCAGCCAAGCAAAACTACATACAGACGTATTCAAAACTTCGCCAACCTGACAAAATGTAAATACATGACAAAAGGGGCGAAGACGGGTCTCATGCGTGAGACACAAGGGCTGACTCTCTCAAAACCTTAGTTGTTCCGTACAGACTTCACTGAGGCTGGGTCTGGACTTCTCTTGGCTCACCTACAAACACATGAATGAGCGTGGGCGATAGCCCAATGAATAATATCAAATAAAGAAAATACATTGGAACAATGTACATCAAACGGCCTTGGGCCAAATTTACATTTTAACTAGTATATACATACATAGACACATGTAAGTTAAGCAACTGAGGTTCCAAAATGACCTTAGGTCCATTTATTTCTATCAAAACAACCTTAGGTCCATTTATTTATATCGAAACGACCTTAGGTCCATTTATTTATATCGAAACGACCTTCGGTCCATTCATTCGTTCATGTCAGACTTTTGTCCACAATCCCAATTAGCAACTCATAAGGCTTATAAGGGAATAAACAGTTGGACATTGCTAAGCTTTCAAATATCGATATTACTCACAGTGATCTGCTTGTGGATTTGCCCTGGAACTTAACCCTACACATTTCATGAATACAAAAGGGTCACTAACAGTTCAATCCATTCTTTAATTCACACATTTCTCTTTAGGCTTTATTCTTATCTCGTTAACTCATTTACAATGCTCAATGCATGCCTAAGAGTGCTTACAAGTGAAAGAGAATGGAAAACGAAACACAGAACGAGCATACCAAATTTCAAAAAATAGGGTCCACGCTTGAGCGTGGACTTACCCGCTCGAGCGGACCCAAGAGGCCTGCAAAAGTACTGGTTGCATCAGAAATATGCTCGAGCGTTAAATAGGGAGCTCGAGTGGAAGGCCTGTCAAAATAGCTCCCCCTCGCTCGAGCGTGAATTACCCCGCTCGAGCGGACATCAAGTCTGCAAAAAGTACTGGGAGCATGCATTTCCCGCTCGAGCGGCAGGTTCCCCGCTCGAGCGGACCTCAAAATTCTGGAAAACCCAGAATTGTGTTCTTGAGCTTCACTTCGACTATCAACCAACAATTTATGCATGTTATGGCTCAAATTACTCATAGACATGTACTAACATGGTACAAGCATAATTTACAACATATTGAAGCTCAATTTCATAATTTATTTGCATGCATGTCCCAAAATATCACAACCTCAACACCAACATGCTCAAATTCAAACATTCAAGACTTATACTCCCATGATTTGTACATGCATGCCCTTATTGACTTCATATTCACTTCAAATAATGTAATTAGTGCTCATTCCCATAAAATTTAACAAAGACATGCTTGCATGTGGGATTATACTACCAATCTTTCATAATTCCACAAATTACATGCTAGATTTGTGATTCCATGGGAGTTCATTACATGCATGCACATATCAAGCCTCAATTCCAACAAAATGATCTCAAATCATGCTCTTGATCACAACAACCCTTGAACACACAAGATTACACATTAAACTCATGAATTCAAGAATCAATGCTTACCTAGAGGCTTCTCTCTCTCTCTCTCTCTCTCTCTCTCTCTCTCTATTCCAAGACACAAAATCTGGTTTTGAGCTCAAATGTACAAATTGAGTGTATATGGCCTCTCACATAAAGTCCCACTAACCATTACTTAATATTATTAAATAATTGGGCACTAAATTCATCAATTTAATCGATTTAATCTGACCCGAATCAATTTTTAATTAAATTCCACCGTAGGCTCTAAGAATTATGTCAATCACAATGGCATAATCAATTTCGGGTTTTGTGGCCGATAAGGCCTCCAATTTAATTTCCGAAGCGGAAAATCAAACAGATATTCCTACGGTGAACAGATAAAAATTCAAAACCACATATTTTCACATAATGGTGCACCAAATCATATCAAAACATATAATCACATTCATATTAAGGACCAATTAACATATTACGGAACAGGGGTATCACAGTCTTTCCCCTTTTAGGAAGTTTGGTCCTCCAAACTTAATTTACCTTTAGTCGAAACAATTCAGAACACTTTTCATTCAACGGTTCCAATCCTTTTGATAGTTACCTGCTTAGTCTCAAAATCGAGCAACACTCTATTCTCAATCATTCAAAGACTCAACTTTTCCTCCATACAAGACTTGTATGATGTCACACCAAACCTAGAGTGTAGGCTGTGGTTGTAAGCAAGGTCTGCCAACAATGGATAAATCTCCCAAACTCCCCGAAAAATCTACTGCACATATTTGGAGCATTTCTCCCAAAAGTTCTTTCTAATTATACATCGATTTTCGGATGGAAAACAGCGCCAAATCACAATTTAGTCCCCATTGGCTCTTAAAGGCTTGTTAGAATCCAAACACATTTTAGGGTTCCTGTCTAAACAATAGATATTGGGACCCCATGCAAACAAGCAACCTTATCGATGTAACAGCGGCTAATCTACAAGCATTACACAAACGAGACTTGTACCTTGGGTGTCCAAGGTAGTCTCACAATGAAATTCGTAGTTACATATTCCCATTTCCATTTCGAAATAGACAGAGGGTGCAGTAGTTCCGCCAATATCTGTTATTTAACTTTGACTTGTTGGCACCGAAAACATTTAGACGCAATTTCAACAATTTGCTTCTTCACAATAGGTCGCCAACATATTTATTTCAAAAGCCAACTAACTTTACCATAGGAGTTCGGTCTATTCCCTTGTCACAAAAGTTCAATTCATTCTCTAACAATTTCGCAATTCATAATTCGATTTGGCATTTAATTCGGTTTCTCATC